AGAGGGATTCTAAAATAGTGCGTAGTCAAGATTTTACTTCTTGTTGTTGTATCCCGTCCTATAGCTAGTTGTTCATGTCCTTTGACACTATGATTTTCCCAATTATCTAACATTTTCAACAAAAATTGAATCACGTACTTTGTGTCTACTATAATGAATTCTTGAGCGTTTTGGATCATGTTCTTCCATATTAAGTCGGTTTTAGGTGAGGTTGAGCACATATGGGATGTTTCAGGTCTTAGTACGTGAGCAGAAGGTTTAGAGCAAGTTTCGGGAAGTTTGGAATGAAATATAGTCAAAACTACTAAAGATGCATTGGTAGAGGGGGAAATGTATCAAATATGAGAGTAATTAATAAACACTATAAATTAAGTGTCTTCAACTTGCTCACAATAGCTCGACATCAATCAGTAACAGGTAAGCTTCCATGTGATTTGGTGGGGTTTATGAGTTGAGTAATTGTTGTTGTATTTCTTATTATTGTCTATTTCTTTAATCAAATCTGATGGTAGAATGGTATTATTATGTATTTGTGTTGTATTGAGTTGATTATGGATTGATATTTATGTTACCGATGATGGGAGAGCGAGATTACATGGTCTGAAGACACCAAACACACAGACCCGCCGGAACTAAAGAGAGCCACATCCTTCACAGCAAAAGCTCACGCAACTAGAGGTGGCAATTAGGATCCAAATCCATGAATCCAATCCAATCCATCCACCAAATTATCCACTTAATCCAATCCATTTAAATCCAGTCCATTTGAACCAAATCCAATTGGATTGGTGGATTCATGGATCAAAACATGGATCCAAATGGCAAATTACGATTTGGTACCTATATTTTTTATATTTTACATTTTGGTACCTAAAATTTATACTTTATACGAAAAAATCATTGGAAAATTATATTTTGGTACCTAAAATTTTTCATTATGACATTTTAGTACCTAAACTTTTCAAAATTTACATTTTGGTACAAGCCTTGTATGTCATTTTGATTCATGGATCAATCCACCAATCCATTGGATCCAATCCATGAATCCACCAATCCATTGAATCCAATCCATTTGATCCATGAATCCACCAATCCAATCCACCAATCCGATCCAATTGACACCTCTACATGCAACCATACGATTGATTAGAAGCCAAATGAGATGAACTTCGCCTTGAAGCTTCACGAATTCTAAAACCACAAGAAGATCAAAATAGGATTCCCGAGAGTTCTCTAAAATACTTAACTAAAGAGGTGAGGTAAGGAGGAGGATCAGAATTCAGAAGACATGAAGAACAAGGCAGGCTAAGGAAACATCAACATCCTTTATCACCAACAAAACATCTCAAAACATCTAAAATCTGGCACGAGAAAGAAAAAGAGACGATCATATACATGAGAGGCTCGACAAAGAAAGTCCCAGTAGGAGATGCAAGTAGCAACAAAGAAAAGAAAGACAGGTAAATAGATGAAAAGAAACATGAGAGAGGCGAGGGGTTTTTTGAGTTGCAATAACAAGCTTTATGGATTTTAAAAAAATGAAGATTTTTTAATTTAAAAATTTAAGGATTTATTTGGGATTTGTTGCATTACGGATTTGGAAGAGTCCATTATTTGCTTACTTGATTTGGTTATTGATTTGTGGTTATGGATTTATATCTTTAAGATGTATATTACCTTACTACTCTTCTTCCTATTAAATTTAAAACTTTACTTGTGTTTCTAGTTTTATACTTGTGCCATGTTAATGCTAATTTTTGTTTTAAAATTGATATTTTATAGCAAGCTCGTAAAATTAGTAGCCACAAAATATTAAAATGTGTACGTAATCAAAATATATCATTATAATCTTACAATTTGTGGCTAAAATTTGTTTGTAGAATCACTGTTGTAAGTTGTAACAACAAATATGGTTTGTAGCTAAAGGGTATCACTTGTCATCCAATTCTAAATTTGAAGCAAAATAATTATACGCTTATGTCTAAATAAATTTGTGACAAAGACATTCAAAAATAGCCACGATGAATGGATTATGTAGTCATTAACATGTTATTAGCTACAATATTATTTTTCATGGCTATAATTTGTAGCTATAAGAGGCCATTGTGGTAGTACAAAGAATAACTAATAAGAGGTAAAGTTTGATTAAAGAAATTATAAGGGGATATATAAGTCATTTTTCATGCAGAATTTGTTGCGTTCTTCAAATCTCAAATAAAAATGTGGGATTTACAAGTCCATTTTGTCCACAAATTTAGAGCAAAAAAATCTCCAAATCCATGGGCCACAAGGATTTGGTACTCTTATTTTTGCCCAACAAACAATGTTTTTTTGGAAAAATCCTTCACATGTTAGATTTAAGAGCCAAATCCATAAAGCAAATCGATCCCTTTGCGTTTGGATAAGTATATTTCATATGTAAGATATTTGAAATACTAGCATTTGAAATGGATGTATTTGAAATATTAATATTTGAAATACATGTAATTCAAATTCGTTGTTTGGATTAGGGATGGCAACAAAATTTGAACCCACGGGTACCCACCCGACCCAACCCGGTCAATGCGAATAAAATCCGTGTTGACGGATTTCGGGCCGGGTTTGGGTTTAGGGGTACCCGACCCATGGGTACCCGCCCACATGAATATAATCAATTTTCCCGGTATATTAAATATTATAAACAATTAATCTTCTTTATGTTTGTGGAGACATATCTAATTTTTTCTTTCTAATTGTGTAGAATGAAGTTGATATTATCAAGTGTAGAGTGAAGAAGCTTAATTGACGAGAAAGAAACTTTCAACTAATCATGTTGTTTATGTAACTTTTTATTTGCTTCAATTTTCTCTAGTTTTCTAGATTGGTGTCGAACAATTTGTATGGTTAATTTGTGATTTGCTTGAATTTTCTAAAATAGTGTTTTATATATGGATTATTTGTATTGAGAGATTGATATTTGACTTTTATTTTGATAAAAAAGTTGTTATTGTAAATTTTTTACGACAAATCTATGGTTACCCATGAACTCGCGGATACCCAGCGGGTTGGGTTGGGTTTGAGTTTTCCAAACCCATTGGATTTTACCCCATTTTTTTCATTTATAAACCCATGGGTTTGGGTTTGACAAAACCCGGCCCAACCCGACCCATTGTCATCCCTAGTTTGGATATTCATTTGTAATTTGTTTGTATTTTGAATTTTATGATTTTTTTTATTTCAATTTTCTGGTCACTTACTAGAAATTTTGGTAAATTGCATTTTGGTATCACAAAATTATTTTTTCTTACAATTTAGTACCTAAACTTTTAAAATCTTACAAAAAATGTCCTGAAATTTTGATGGTAAAATTACATTTTGGTACCTTTATATATGCCTCACACTATAGTACCTAAAATTTGAATATTTTACAAATAGGTCCAATCTTTTGTTAGGAGGTATTTCAAATCACTAGTTGTTGAAATGTATTTGAAGTTGACAAAAAAAAATACACTAGACATGTATTTGAAAATCACCCATGAATTTGACACAAATCCAGATACCAAATATAATTAACATCCATATACATGATTTGATGTTTGGAAATCCAAATCACAAATACCAAATCCAAATCATTGTATCCAAACACACCCTTAAAGTATTTGAATGACTGAACCAAACCTAAAGAATTAGAGGTCGTTTGCTTGTAGGATTTTAGAAAATGAAGGATTTAGGTAAAACCTTGGATTTTATGGATGAAAAATTATGCGGCATTTTGTTACTTTGGATTTGTGTTGCATTTTAAAAAAGGCATGTTTGCTTGTTAGATTTCATATTGGATTTGTGTCCATGGATTTATCAATTATGGGCTGAATTTACATTTGTATCCTTAATGATTTGTGTCCTTAACGTTCAATATAGGTAATATTGAAAAAAGATGGTGATAGACCCGTCATTTACCATCATGAATTTTAGCTTCCCACAAAATTCCAACTAAATAGATGGGATTTTATAATCTGTGGACCCCATGGATTTTGACCTCAAAATAATCTCATATACATAGGGGGCCACACACCATAATCAAACACCACTTTAACACCAAAAATAAATTTTGCACATAATCACATGAGTTTGAGATTTTGATCCAAAATCCATAATGAAAATCCTACAAGCAAACGACCTTTTAGTGTCCAGAGCCCGGGAGAATGAAGCGTTGAATCAAACCCACAGATCTGGTCAGCGTATCTTTACAGAACTCACCCCGCCCGGATCTGGTTGCAACTTGCAAGTTGCCTCGTGCTTGCCACATACAAACAGCTCATAATAATATGCAATCCTCATGTGCAATCAATACCAATCCCTTTAAAGGCCCTTTTGACAGAGGCATATCGCCAGAGGGTTGGACAGAGCTCTGCACCCCACGACATGAGACAAGTGCCACTGTCAGTCTCTCCATTTCGGGGGTCCAGAATAAGTTATTTGCAAGGATTAAAATAACATATCATACCGGTGTTTCAACCGGAAAAATCTGTTATCGAAACAAAACTAATAGACAATATGAAATGATTGAACCACAATTTTCGTATAAAAATTCTGTTATCGGAACAAAACTAATAGACAATATGAAACAATTGAACCACAATTTTCGTATAAAATATCACACTACAGACTTCTCCGATACAACCACAGGTTGACAGGTACGATTTTACAATTCTTGGTAATTTGTGATAGCACGATCCATATAATTAAGGGGTCGTTTGCTTGTTGGATTTGAAAATGAAGGTTTTGAGTTTCAAAAACCTTTGAATTTATGATGGATTTGTTGCATCATGGATTTGGAAGAGTACATTGTTTGTTTAGTTGATTTTTTATCATGGATTTGTGATGAATTTGTCTCAAATTTTTTCCTTCTATTGTCGATTTACAAATCCGTGGGGTCCGCGGATTTGGATCTAAAAAATGGGTCCAAATCCGTGGACCTCACGGATTTGTGTCCCTCAACAAACAAAGGATTTGTGTCAACTCCATGATGCTTGGCATTTGGGTTCCAAATCCATCACCCAAATCCCACAAGCAAACGACCCCTAAGTTAAAACTGAACCAAAAAAGCTGTATTATCTACATTCATGACCCCAAAAAAACGGATCCCATTTTACATTCATTATAGTATAAAACACTCCAGATTGATTACCATGTCCTATATGTACATATCGAACTTCTTCACCGCCTCAGAAGACTCACGCAGCAACCCAAAGTAACAAAAGATGAACCACTTGTGAAGGATTATGGGAAAATGCCCCCTCCAATGTCCATCTCATTATTCTACAATGAAAATGACTTCTACTTACTTACAATGACACTTTCTCATGGGCATTTACATACAAACCCTTCCTTCTCGCACAGATATATACACCAACACTATCATAAACTAAAAAAAGGATTCGTCTGATCTTACCCTGCTGAGAGAAACTATGAACAAACCAAAAGGCCTGCTTGCTGCTTGCTGCTGAGCTCTTCGTTGCCACTACCAAATGTGTTTCACTTGACTTGTTTCCTGTTCTATTGATTAAACCTTTTTAGCCCTATATGTACCAAAAGTTTTTCAGTTTGTGGAGGAGAGGGAAGTGGGTTATGAAGGACCTCTGTCTATGCCATGGTAGGGATGCTGCAGTTCCTGCTGTCCCTGTCGAGGCAATCGAAACCTTCCACCCTCACCGCCGGTTTGTTCCGAAAATTTGACCGGACGATGCATCCACCGCCTTTCCTTGGAGACGACAAGGACATGATGCTGGACGGAGGGGGAACAGGCGGTGAGAAAGGGGTCGAAAACAGCAGCTCCTCCTCTTCCTCCCCTCCAAATCGAGCATCCTGAATTACTGGGTTAGCTACTCTGCTCGGCGGCGACCCACAGAAAAAAGGAGGTGACGCCGCTACTCGTTGTGGATATGATTGCTCCCTGCCAACGTTACCATCACCCTGTCACACACAGTTCTGATCATTAGGGTTCTTGTTCAGCTAGCATTAACAATCCTCTCATCACGAATCATACTTGGGAAACTCGCTTTACCTTAGCAAGGATGATGTCGAGCAGATCGTTTCCTGCTTTTGAATCGCAGAACTCCGCTTGGTGGCTGCAAAATCCCATTCCCAAAATAAGGCAATTTTAGCATCTCAATTGGAATTAATGGAAACAGAGATTCCTTTAAAAATTCAAGTACAATATTAAAAACAAAGAAATTGTTTGGATATTTACCCGAGCTGCCATCTGAGAGATCGAAGCGGGTGGTCGTTGGCAGTGTCGGCGAACAGACCGAGACGCCGTGGCTTAGGACAAACAACCGCCGCCTCCCGTCGCTCGGAGATTGGAGCTGCGGCGGTGGTCCGCTCCCTCCTCGAGAAAGCACTCTGCTGGATCACGAACTGACTCATCTTCCTTCTTTACTATCTACTTGAACTCTAATAGCTTTCAAGAACTGTTTGATTCCTATCCACAAAATTTATTTCCCTGCACAAGACAAGACAGAAGAAGAAGACCAATTAGGTCACCGTCCATATGAAATTCAAAAATTCAGCTAAGAAACAAATTAACGCGTTCAAACTGTGAGAACGGAGAAAGAGAGCCGGTATCTCAAGTCAAACCAGATTCGAAACAGAAAAGGCTAAAATTAAAGCGGCCAGCTCGTTTCTTGGCAGGCAAGCTTGGGAACCGCCATAGGACTTCTCTGTAGGCCTCCGAATCGAGATCTCGCGCAGAGAACTGCAGCCGGATGGCCACAGTCCGCGGATCCAATGGTACGAAGTAAAATCATATTGAAGCCTAGATCTGAGAAAAAATTGAGAGAAAGAGGGAGCGAGAAATTTACCAGAAGTCGGTGAGGTGCACAGCAGAGGTAGGCGAGCGGATCGAGTTGGAAGAGGAAGTGAAGGTGGGGCGATTGTGAGATGGAGAAAGAGGGTTAGGGTTAGGAAAAATTGGTCCTGTTATGATTCATAATTGGGAATTTGAAATAAGGAAACTAGGAAAAGAAGGAAAGAAAGAAGGAAGAAGAAGGAAAGGGGAAAATATTCGAACAAGAGCGTGGGAGGAGATTTTTTTCAGGAGGAACAAGAAAAGAGCACGACTTGGGCATTGATTGGGCGACGCAGGCTATTATTATACGGAACAAGAAGGGCGGAATTATCTTTTATTTTAATTTTATTTAACTCCTCGTGTCTCGATCTTTTTTTTTTTTTTATGGGAGTGTCTCGATCTTTTCCGCTTCTATATATATTAACTCTTTAAAAGAGCACAAGAGGTGTTCTTTTTGTAAATTGTAATTTATCAAAACGATTGTTTGGTTGCATCAATTGTAAAATGAGACAATTTGACCAATTATTTCATTTAATAAAATGAGTTATCTAAAACGAATCAATTCAGATTAACTGCCCCCACCCCAGACAATTGTAATTGACTCAAAATGAGTCAATTCAGAATTCCCCAACCCAAATTGCTTCATCAAATTTTATGCTGTCAAACGGATCAATCTAGCACGATTGGCTCAAAACGAGACGATTATGTCAGATTGATCCATTAGAATTCCTCATCCAAATGACCCTTAAGTTTCGAAGAGTTTTTGCGCATTAAGGTTCTAATTTATTAACTTGTGATAATTGAACCTAGGGGTGGAAATTGGTACAGTATCGGTATCCCAATACCAAATATCAAAATCCTGAATACCGAATTACACTCTAAACTCAATCTCAAGCCCAATCCTTAAATAATTTTGATATCTCAATCCTAATCCATAAATATTTTGGTATCTCAATCGGTATTATCGAATGCGAAATTAAGTACCTTTGCAATTAATAATTAAATATATAAATTAGATTTGATTGTTTAATTTAGGACAAAGAGACTAAACAAAGAGTCTTGAGTTTGCCTAGAGCTAGGACATCAATAGGGAGAAGGGAGGAGAGGTGATAACTCAAGTTCATGTCATTGGTAATCTTTAATTCGACGAATTGGAGGCTAAGAGACGACTAATACTAGTGTTTCCTTTTTTTGTTATGAAAATAAGAAGAGATTATATGAGATGAGAGTGACTGAAACTGAAAAGCCAAAATGGTTTAGGATGGTGACTTGTGAGTTATGAAAGAGTGGGGAATGACCAAAAGTTGTGTGATATATTTAATTAATTTTTAATTTTTGTTATTTCTCGGTATTTTGATATATTTCGGTATATACCGATCCCAATCCCGTAATCAGGAATAACGAATACCACTCCAAATTGAATTCCAATTCCAATCCCTAAAAAATAAATCGGTATTCGGTAATACCAAATATTGATAAATTCGGTACGATATTCGGTATATCCCAAATACTAGTACCAAACTTCCATCCCTAATTGAGCCCAAATTGAACTCAATATTCAAACTAATTCAACCCGGTTAAAGTGAGTTGAACCCGGTGTTGACAAATTTTTGGCTCAACAATAAGTTTTGCATACTTAAATCAATTGGTATTTGACCTAATGTCGACTCGGTTAAAGCAAGTTCAACCCAGTGTCAGTTTTCAAGAAGACGCTAGGCGCTATCTAGGCGAGGAGGCACCGCCCAGCGCCCAGGCCGATTAGTCGTTGCCTAGGCGAGATTAAACGTTGAAAAAAATATGATAGATAAGCCACATTTCACAAAAACCCAAGTCGCGATATCATTATTCATCCATTCATATAGACATACAACCCTTTTCCACAATCCCAAACATTCCAAGTCCCCAACCATGAGGAGGGATCTCGCTGCTCGAATGATGAGGGGGAGCGGCTGGTCGAATGGAAATGGGAAATAGAATAGTTTGGGATTTCCACAAAAATGCTACACTTTTCCCCTTTATTAGTTGTTTTGGGCGTCACCCTCAAGATGAAAACACGCCTCCGAGCGCCTAGGCACCGATTAGGTGTTTCCTATGGAGATTAATTGTTTAGCACGCCTAGATCAATTGCCCAGGGCTGGACGAGGCGATTTCCTCCTGCCTAGCTACTAATCGCGCCTAGGCGAGAGATTAATCGCGTCTTCTTGAACACTGCCCAGTGTTGACAAATTTTTGGTTGTCTAATTCGATCTGATTAAAGTGAGTTGAACTCGATGTTAGCGAATTTTGGGCCGATGACGAATTTTACATGCTTTTGTGATTTCAGGTTGGGTCAGTGTGACTTTATTAAAAAGTCGCCCAACTTGCTATCGTTTTAAACTTTGTTTTCTTTTTATGATTAAGCGAGTTGAACCCAGTGTTGACAAATTTTGGGTCGACAACGAGTTTTACACACTTAAATCAATGGGAGTTGACCTTGATGTTAAAAGATTTTGGGTCGAGAACGACAATGAGTTTTACATACGTAAATCAGTGGTATTTGACTTAATTTGGGACTTCTTCCAGAAATAGCACTGTTTAAATCAATAGCCATTCAACCTAATTCGACCCGGTTAAAGCAAGTTTTACTCGGTGTTAACGCAATTTGGGTTGTCTAAATAATTCTTTTTGATGAAATTTGAATCCAAATTGAACCCAAATGGTATTCAATCTCAACCCAGTGTTGGCAAATTTTGGGTCGATGACGGTTAAAATTATTGAACTTGTGACAATTGAGCCCAAAGTGGACCCAAATCAATGGGTATTCGACCTAATTCGACCCGGTTAAAGTGTTGAACCTGGTGTTGACGAATTGTGGATCAATAATGAGTTTTGCACGCTAAAATCAATGGCTATTTGACCTAATGTTGACTCGGTTAAAGCGAGTTCAACCTAGTGTTGATGAATTTTTGGTCGACAACGAGTTTTACAAATTCGATCTGATTAAAGCGAGTTAAACTCAGTATTAGCAAATTTTGGGCCAAGGACGAGTTTTACATGTTTTTGTGATTGTCGGGTTGGGTCTGTGTGACTTTATTAAAAAGTCGCCTAACTTGCCATGGTACAATGTAAATAGTTTGCTGGTATGTATAGAGCTTATAGATATACAAGTGTTGTTGTCATTTTGTTATTCACAGAACTATATATAAACCTCCGCAACTCTAATTTGCATAATTCTTCAATTGAAATTGCCCCAATCCCCTCACCATATTAGATGAGTGAAACTACTTCTAATGAAATTGACCATAGGTATACGGTTGAGAATCTGACAGTAGGCAGACTTCAAATAACCCTTGAAATAACACATTTTTTCACAGACGGAAGGTTCACAGAAAGTTCACAAGGATATTTGGCATTATTATGTTATTTTCTCATATAGTTCCTTGACGCGAAGTATAGCGAGCAGGCTTTTCTAGTAATATATATATAGACCAACGTTGTCAAACCGAGTTATACCGATGTTCGGTTTAGTATATGGAATAGTTCGTCCGATGGTATAACCAGTTTGTACAGGTTAATGTCGATTTAACAAAATATGTAAAATATAAAAAAAAACATTAGCATCAAATAATATATATATATATAGAAAACATATTTAAATAAAATGCAACATCTCAAATAAAATAACTAATACTCATGTTTAAACGATGCACCCATGCAATATACATATGTTTGGTTAGTAAATAATTTTATACCAGTAACAAGCTCATTAATTTTCTTCCGTTTTCATGCTCGAAGCATGGCTCATAATATCGTACCATACTGACAGTTCAACCACAAAATACCAGTATCAGAGTTAAATTAATAAACGATATTTAATGGGATTAATGTTGAACTACGATTAAACTACAATTTTGCTATAAAATAGCATCGAGTTGATTTTCCGGACAAAATAACGAGTGAAACTCAAGATTTATCATAAAAAAAGTAAACGATAAAACCATCACACTAACTCCCAATAAAAAGTAATGCAATTGATGAGTTCCCGTAAAGGGCCTTGGGCTGAACTCATATAAACGAGTTTATGAAAACGAGCCCATTCATTCATGGTCATTTAACTTAACAGATAACAAGTCCAAACTGACAACCTTGGTGGTTATGTGGGTGACATGCCGGTCATTTGAATCTGGTTCAACATGTACTGATCATAAAATATGCATGAACATCACCGGTATGACTGGTATGATTAATTTATGAATTCTAAACAAAATAACATCATTTTAGTGAATTTAATTAATGAATTTATTGCATATATTATAAATATAAAAATTAAGAGTTGATGTAATTTGTTGGATTAAGGTATAAATGTTTAATTATTAACGTTATATGCTGTCATTAAATATGAGTATTTGTTATTTTATTTGAAATGTCGTATTTTATTAACCAGGCATGAACCGACACAAATAAGTTGGACACTAGACGTACCATTCCACTAGCTAAACCAGCGCAACGGCATACACCGGTTTGACAACCTTGACCACGAGCTGATAACATGGCGACTGCACATGTGTCGTGTATGGAAGACTAGTAGCATAGAGATGCTCCTAGGATTCTCCACCTAAATGAGAGCTTAATGGTGCACTTATGAGTCACATAATGGGTGACATTTATAGAGTGCATAATGGGGGGACTTAATGGGTGTATTGATGTAGAGAGACATTATGAGGGGCATTGATGCCTTGTATGAGGAGAGACCTATATAAGGAGCCATTTCCTTCACTTGTAACTCATTCCATCATTTTTTTTAAAGTAATACACACTAGAGAGTTCTCTCATCTTCTTTGTCTTCTTGCTTTCTTTGCTTTGCTTGTGAGTTTGAGAGAAGGCTGCCTAGCATCTCTAACGGATTTGAGAGCTAGGGCCGCACGACCGAGAGTAAGGCCGTGACAGGTGGTATCAGAGCCTGATTTGGCTCGGTGCTAGCAAGCAAGAAGCAATAGCCAAACGAAGAGAAGGAGCCTCACAAAAAATGTCAGGACCAGATAGCGGCGTTGCTGATGCTGAGAAGCAACATGGAAGAGATGTCACCAAGGGTTCGAGGCCAAAAGGTACGTCGAGCACTCATGATCCTTTCACGTCTCTAGAGATGCGAGTCTCTAAAGTGGAGGTGAAGCTTTCCAAAGATGTCACCACCATGGAGGATTTGGGAGCTAACTTCGCCCAAGTCCAAAGCGATGTTCGAGGAATGAATACTCGGTTATCGAGCTTG